CGGCTTTTAGTTACAGGTAAAAATTCATCTTGTTTCCCCAGTACAGGGGAACACTCCAGGAAAGAGAAACTGAGATGTCCTTATACCTGTCTGCAAACTATATCTTGCTCAATAACTCAATTAGCAAAGGCCTCCACAGTTGTCTGGATTAGAATCATAGAATCATACAATGGTTTAGGTTGGAAGGGACCTTTAAGATCATTTAGTTCCAATCCCCTTGCTATAGGCTGAGACTCCTTCCACTAGAGTAGGTTGCTCAAAACCCATCCAGTCTGGTCTTGAATGCCTCCAGGGAGGGGGTATCCACAACCTCTCTGGACAACGTGATCCGATGTCTCACCACCCTCACAGTAAAGAATTTCTTCCTAATATTTAGTCTAAATATACCCTCTTCCAGTTTAAAGCCATTTCCTCTCATCCTGTTTCTACATGCCCTTACAAAAAGTCTCTTCCCAGCTTTCCTGTAGGACTTCTTCATGTATGGAAGGCATAATAATAATAATAAATAAGGTCCCCATAGAGCCTTCCTTTCTGCAGGCTGGAGAGCACCAACTCTCTCAGCCTGTCCTCACAGGGGAGGTGCTCCAACCCTCTGATCAAGTTTGTGGCCCAACTCTGGACCCACTCAAACAGCTCAATATACTTCTTGTGTTGAGGGCCCCAGAACTGTACATAGTACTCCACATGGAGTCTCACGAGAGCAGAGTAGAAGTGCAGAATCACCTCCCTTGACCTGCTGGCCACGTTCCTCTTGATGCAACACAGGATATGGTTGGCTTTCTGAGCTGCAAGCACACACTGTCATCTCATGTTGAGTCTTTCATCAACCAACACCCCTAAATCTTTCTCCTCAGAGAGAGGGCTGCTCTCAAGTCATTCTACACTCAGCCTGTATTTGTGTTCGGATTGCCCCAATCCAGGCGCAAGACCTTGCACTTAGCCTTATTGAAATTCAGGAGGTTGGCGTAGCTCCATCTCTCAAGCCTGTCCAGGTCCCTCTGGATGGCATTGCTTCCCTCTATTGTGTCAACTGCACCATTTAGCTTGTTGTCATCTGCAAACTTACTGAGAGTGCACTTGATTCCACTGTCCATGTCACCTACAAAGATATTAAATCTGGTCCCAGCACCAATCCCTCAGGAACATCAGTCATCACAGATCTCCACTTGGACACTGAGCTGTTTACCACAGCTCTCTGAATGCAACCATCCAGCCAATTCCTTATCCAGGAAGTGGCCCAACCATCAAAGCAATTTTTCTCCAATTTAGTTACCAGGATGTCACATGGGACAGTGTGCTTTGCACAAGTTCAGGTGGGTGACATCACTTGCTCTTCTTTTATCCACTGACACTGTAACTCCATCATAAAAGACCGCCAACTTTGTCAAGCACAAATTGCTCTTGGTGAAGCCATGTTGATTACCATCTATCATTTCATCCTTATTTTCCATGTGTTTTAGTAGGGCCTTCAGGAGGATCTGCTCCATGATCTTGCCAGGCACAGAGGTGAAACTGACTGACCTGTAGTTTCCTGGATCTTCTCTTTTTACTTTCTTGAGAACTGAGGTTATGTTTCCCCCTTTCTAGTCAGTGGGAACTTCATCAGACTGCCATGACCTTTTAAATATGATGGATAGCAGCTTGGCAGCTTCATCTGCCAGTTCCCTCAGAACCCATGGATGATTCTTACTGGGTCCCATGAACTTGTGCACCTTTAGGTTCTTCAGATGGTCTCGAATCTGATCTTCACTTACAGCAGGCAGATCCTTCTTCTCCCAGTTTACCTTTGCTTTCTGCAGCTTGGGCAGTGTGGCTAGAGCCCTTGCCGGTGAAGACTGAGGCAGAGAAGTCATTAAGCACCTCAATTTTCTTCCTATCTCTTTGACCAGGTCCCCAGTTTCCTTCTGGAAAAGGCCCACATCTTCCCTGGCCTTCCTTTTATCTGATATACCTGTAGAATTTATCCTTGTTCCCCCTTATGTCCCTGGCTAGATTTAATTCCATCTGGATTTTAGCTTTCCTGGCCTGATCCCTGACTGCTCAAACAACTTTTCCGTAGTCCTTCCAAGAACCTATTCTTGAAAATAAAGACATAAAGGCTAGTTCTGGCAGCCTACTGCTAATTCCCTTTAAAAATTCTATCAAACCACTCTTCTTGGTCCAGTTGTTCACAGACAACTGTCTGTTTTCAGTTGCATTGGGTTCCTGTAGTTCCTGGGTCATTCTGCACAGGATGGGTTATTAAAACAGAGAGGCAATCACTTGCTTTTTGTCAATATTTATGCAGCTTAAGTTCATCTAGTCCAAACTCCTGTACTGAGGCAAGGTTAAATTTAACAAGACATCTCTGGCAAAAGATTATTTAGCTGAGTCTTGAAAACATTTTGAGAAGTTTCACGATTTTTATATACAACCTGTTCTACCACTTCAGTGACCTGCTTTTCTAAAAAAGAGAAAAAAAAATAAAAAAGATTTTGCTAGCAAGTAAGGTATATCATCTTTACTGTAGATTGTTTAGATATGAGCAGATTTGTACTTCCCTAGATGGACTTGAAGAAAATTGACTGCCACCCTATAGCTGCTCCTAAACATTCAGATTTTATATATCCTTCACAAAGCTTTGCCCTTGACTAAGCCCCCTACCTCCTTTAATCTTTCCTAACATAACATATTTTTTTTAATTTTAAATTTCTTATTGTCCTTTCAGCTCTCATCTGGCCTCTCCCTAATCTGTCTGAGAGCACTGAGAGCATTTGCATTATCCACTCTGATCTCCTGAAGAGCAGTTCCTCCTCTCTTGTAGATTGATCATTAAAAGCATTTTTCTGCATTATGTTATCTTCAAAACTCAATGTGAAATTTCAAAATGAGAATAACAAACACTGCCAATAATGTTTCTGACTAATGGACTTGCACACAAAAAAAAAGTCAAAGCATCCCAAAGCAGTCCAACCCCTGCCCACAGCTGCCCCTGTGACAGTTATCAGATCAGTTACCCGATTTCATTTGTTTAGGATGAAATTCAAATAACAGCAAAAGAGAATATGATGTCCAAATTGCAGTTAAAGCAATTTGGCACAGAAAAAGTGACGCAAAAGTAACCTGGGACTGAGAGGGATCACCAAGAAGAGACGGACACCACCAATAGCCCTGTGCTCTGCCTGAGGAGGTCTGCATGGGAAACCCTCGTTACCTCATCATTTGTTTCTATGCCTTTTTTCTCCTGCCAGTGTACAACTGAATGCTGCTGGGCCCCTTCCGCCACCCAGGAAGAAGTGAGCTGCTGCTCAGTGTTTTTTTCTGGTTTGTTTTTTTTTTTTTTGGTACAGAAACATGCAATTCCATAGGGAAATGTCTTTCTACATAGGATGTCAACCCTGGAACATGTCTTCTCTTTATCAGAGGCCAAAAGAGGTTTCCCTTTCTATTCATCCATGAGAAAACATGTGATGTGAAATAATGAATGTGAGGTTTTGCTTTAATCTGCAAAATCGGATGCTGTTTATTTTCCAAAGAATTCTTGGACATAAAAAGAAATGGGAATACAAAAAGGTTGCCAAAATTAATTTAATGGAAATTCAGCTGCTGAATACAGCACAGTTAAACATCCTGGATAGCCTCAGAGACCTGCAAGCCAAATGTGGGACATCATTGCTCCAGACACATTAAACAATCATTAACTTCCCTGTGTGAGGGAAAATGATTAGATGTTGCTCAGTGTGCTGTATAAGAAATCACTTGTACAACCCGAGGTTTGTTGTGAAAAGTAAAATCCTGCAATATGGATAGGCAGCAGGTTGTACCCTTAAGCAGGTAACACAAACAAAGGTGCGTGGCATAGCCTGCTCTCTCACCCCACCATCCCTCTGATCCCAGCCTTTCCAGGCCTGCTCTCCTTCTCCTAACACCTTACATCACTGCCCGCAGCCCTTCTTGTTCTGTATTTTGTCCTGTGCAAGATATCTCAGAGTACAAGCTATCTCATGGTTTCTTTTTGCAGTGTGCTTTTACAGCAGGGAAGGTTGACCGACATGGGCAGGACATGTGTGAAACTTCAGTATATCACCTGTGGTTTGGTTTATTTCAAGTCTGCTGAATTGGTGTAAAATATGAAACTATCCGGCGTATCAATGAATTCTGGCTGGTAGAAGGTAGAATTCCGTTGATTTTACTGATGGTTGAGTGATGCCAACAGGTTTGGAAGGTGTGTGGGAAGAGAAAAAAATTCTTATCCCTGACTGTAGGTTGTAGGAGGATGAAAACAAACAGCAGTTTTAATCTAGTCTAAAAATTGTACTGACCTACTACACTGCAGGGCATGAGGAACTGAGGGCATATGGTACAGAACAGGCTACGTTTCCTGGCTGCATATTCTCATTACATATGCAGACAACAGAAGAAAAAAAATATGATTATTACTTCAGCCTGGGTTTTGATATTGTTTTTGGAAAACCAAAGAATTTGCTAAAAGTTACTTTTACCAGACAAATCACTGGAATCCACTGAAATCCATTTGTACCACCATAGTGGAGTTGAAGCACCTTCCACAGCCAAATTTTCTCAACCCATCCTCTTCATGGAGGAGCACATCAGGAATAAGAAAACAAAAACAAAGCAAAGCACACCCGGACAATGCTAGGCCTTGCCTTTCTATGGGTCGTATGGGACTTTCCCAGCTGATAAATAAGCTGGCATAGCAAGCCTATGGCTGCTCTGACTTGTAGGGGCAGCTGGTTCAGACCTCAGGACCAGTATCTGAGTCAGTGGGGCAGGGTACAGCTGCTCACAACTAAGGAGCTTCTGACTTCAGAAGCTCTGCCAAGCATTCCCGTTCCTCTGAGAAACGCTTTTACTGTCAGCAGAGTTTGAATACAGTCTTGTCTCATCCTGGATTTGAGGTACCCTGGAGAAATGGCATGAACATTACATATTCAAAAATATACTGCATAACATGTTTATTATTTACCTTGTTTTCAGTTAATTTTTATTTTATTTATTTTATTTTGTTTTTATTTTTTTGCATGGGCTAGAAAGCACTGCAGACTTTCAGATACTGACATTGTCTCGCACGCTGTATTAAACCCCCAGGGCAGGTCTAATTGGCTTGTGGTTGCAGATATGTTGTAACTGACTTGGCTTGAAGTTTTGCTGGCCACTTCATCTATATTCATCCTTATTTGCTCTTTTAAAGCAGGAAGAAGACATCCAGATTTCTTCGGTGAGGTCAGTATGAGGTTTCTTTCCAGACACAGGGGCCATTTTCTCCCAAATCCTTCAAAATGAATTGAAACACTAAAAGCATTTCAGACCATGAAGCATTAATTCATGAGAGCTTGTTCTCTTGAACTGTCTATTTAAACAGTGAATAATTTTGGTGTTTTATCTCTTAGACCAAATTTACATGTCTTGCTGCTTGCAGCTCCTGTCAGGATTGCCTTACCACAATGTGGAGCAGCATCAGAAGAGTAGGAAATTGTAGAAAATAAGTTGTGTTTCTCCATAAGCCTTGTATAAACAGTTTCTGTGTATTTCAGTCAGCAGTATGACTTTCTTCTCCCACAGTGCTAGGTCTGTGCTGCCACAGATGGGAGTGCCACACTGGGATATGTTTAGGACATATACAGTAGCCCTGTGTATGCATGTGCTCCCATATATCAGTATGCTGATTCTGGCAACTACTTCTGTGTAAAATCAGCCCTAATTAAATCAGCATCAGGCTTGGTGGAGATGCAGTTACATTGAAATAAAAATGTCTTGTTGTGATAAAACACTTTCTGCTTTCCCTGGTTTTAACTTAGGCTTGTATAAACATCTTTATCGTTGGGTGACTGCATCCACACCAAGGAGGAGTGGGGGAAAGGGAGAGATTGTTTTACTCTAATTATACCAGTAAGTCTTGAGCAGTACAGCCTTTCTGTATAGGCAAAGCCTTAAGGTCAGCATATAAATGTCCAATAAGTGGTGACCTCTGAGAGCTGGTAGATGAATTATGACTTTTGATAACGAAGCTTTTCACTCAACATAGTAGTCAGGGAATAGCCGTGTAGGAATGCGGAAAAAAATGGCAGTGGGAATATAATTTAGCAGAATGACTCAGGAAAGCACACATGATGGGAAAACCTTATTTTTTTCCACGGTATTCAGGGTGTTCTCGGGAACTGGGAAGAGGATTGTGCATTGGCAAGTCAAGCCCCTCACTACCTCAGGCAATGTATCCCATAACTTTTCTCGTAACTGACTGAGATGTATCCTGAAACCACTTACCTAGGGAGGGGGGAATGGTGCTCTCCATTTCACCTCCTGGGAGGCTGACAGTTACTTGCATTGACATTTCAGTCTGGCAGCACAAAAGCTGAGTAATGCACCAGAGTACAACAGCAGTGCCAGGAGTCTAACACACTCAGCTGGAAAGCTAGAAACAAAAAGGCAGGGATTCTTTTTATTATTAAAGAAAAGAAAAAAAAAAAAAAAAGAAAGAAACCACCATCATTTGGCTCCCATAAAAACTGTGTTCCTAATTCTCTTAGGAAAATCCTAGTGCTGGCTGCTGCTAAGCATACATGTATGTCTACAGGGCTGGTACCTTAGTCATTCAGAAAACATTCCCAGTCCCATGCAGACACTGTGAGAGGTTAAGTGTACCTGGCAGCTAATGAAAGAGCTGAGCCATAGATGATGACCACGCTGACCAAGTGTGGGAAACCCAGAGGTTTCCACAGCTTGCCAACCTGTAATTGCATTTCCCAAAATGTTGATTAACACCCACTGTGTAAAGAAGAAAATTCCTCTGTCTGGGCTCTACGTGCAGAACCCACCCAGGATGGAGTGAGACACTGAGGGGAGCAATGATACACTGCCAAAGCTATGCCCACACAGAGAGCTCCACTCCCTTGACTCATCCAGGCAAGAAACTGTACATGGGGGTCCACGCACATGCACTGCAGAGGACAGCAGAGGACAGTCTCTTCCCTAGACTCACTACTTCCCCTAAGCCAATCTCCTTTCTTGGTTGTAGCGGGGGGCAGGTGTCTGGCATCCCCTCTCGCATGCCTCCCTATCACAGAGCCAAGGGGAAATTCAGAGAGACCACTCACCCCACATGCTTTATCCTGCACAAGCCACAGAAAAGCTGGCATTCAGAGTGTTCAAAATAAAAGCCACATTGAATATCTAAATTAGGTACTCACTGAAATGAGGGGGAACCTAACAAATAAGGTACAGTACAGATGTTTTGCATAACATTCTACAGGGATGCAGATCTTTTTTGACTCAATACTGTTGCGAGCAGCTTGCAAGAGGCACTAGGATTATAGTCAGTCCTTGAGGTCTGCCTCTTTCTCTGACTCTGAAGTCAGACTCTGTCTCCAGAAAGCCCCTCATTGGTAACAGGGCAAAAAGCCATCAGAAAGCCCCAGAAACCTTCAGATGCCTTCTTCTGTACTCTGGCACTAGATTCCACCACATTTAAGGACCACAGATGTGCAGCCAGCAAAAACAAACATTGCTAGGTGCTTTCACTGTACACACTTCACAGGCATGTTTTTGTCGGGGCAGCCCAATATTAGGCACAAGCCTCTGCTCTACCAAACTTCAATTGCTTCCTTTCCCGTGCTCTCCCATCATCACCTTTCCCAGAGAAGACCCAGAGGGAGTAATAATCTCTGCAATGACTTGGATAATTTATTCAAACTTCCCCTCTTCCAGAGATAGCCAAACTTCCTTGGCTTAGAACCAAAGATCACAACTACTGCAAGTCTTCTTTTTCCTCCTCCATCTTGAGCATTAAGCACCCTCATCCTGCACTGGGGGCAACTAATGTGAGAGTCAGCACTAAGAGCAGGCCAGAACCTACTAGAGCCAACAGGAGCTCATCAGAAGTCAGGTCCCACCATCTGTTCAAAGGTAAACACATAGTTGGATTTCTCGCCAGGCTGTCTTCTTGCATGTCAGCAGAAGATCTGCCAAAAAATTGCAGATGGTTGGGCAAGTCCCCAAAAAAGCCTGGCAGCAGGGGTAAGCACCTTTCCATTTCCCAGCTGAACTTACCTGGCTGAAAATTAGGCTTGAGAATATTCACTGGGCTACACTATCATGTGGAAATCCAAAGGTAGGAGTTGAAGGAGTGAGGGGGAAGGGGAAAGGAGAGACGTTAGGTAAACATTATGATTTCAGTTAAGGTTACTCAAATCCTGAACCCAAACAGAAAAGCAGCCCTTATTTTAGCTCAGATCACTTACTGTCACAAATGATGTGATTAATATCCCCTGATTTCTCTGCATGTGCGTTCACCTCCTCATGCCTTGTCCTACATATCTAAATAGCTGTAGCAGTACAAACATGAGAGCTGATGTGGTAAGGAAGGAGTCTTGTAAGAGTTGACCTATTTAAAATTATTCCAAATTTCAAATTGTCAAATTCTGATTCAGCCTGACCCCATCTCTACAACTCAGACCAGTCTCTTAACTGCCTTTGGTGACCAGTTAGAATAGCGAACTACAAAATGAGCCTTTTCTGCAAGGATGATTTGGGAAATCAGGCTCCCTATGGATAGAGAAAAAATACCCACTGGGACTTCATCATTGAGTTTGGTTTCATATTCTTGATGTATCATCACATTTTAGACTGAGAGTTGAGTAAGATACCAGTGTTGCACAATACTAAAAGGACAAAAATGCCCTTCCCTTCACCTTGGTGCCATGTACTACTTCCTATCTGTCAAAATAACCCAGTGTACCTATTATCACAAATCTTTATGTTGCTGTGGCCCAGCCTACACTGTGAACTCATCAAGCCCTGTGCTCAGCAGGCCTTCCTGGACTTGTTCCTGCTGCACTTCTGAAACCTGGGGCCAGATTCCATTCCTGCCTAGAGTGAGCTGCAACTGTATGCTTAAAAACAACAAAATTTTCTTCATCCCTCGCACAGTACATCATCAGTGACCACCTATAAAAACAGAAAAAGAAAGAAGCTGAGTGTCTTCAGGGTAACATGGTTAAATAACAGAAAATCTACAGTCCTTCTTGGCATCGCACTCCTCAACCCTCCTCCTTTCCCTGTAAGGACCAGAAGGATAGTACAGATGAGCCAGAGCAGTTAAACATGAACAGGTGAAGTCAACAGGAGATTGAGTGTCTTTTCAAAGCTTTGATTGAAGTCAGTGGAAAGACTTTACACTCACTAAACATCTTTGGAACAGGCTGTAAAAGAAGTTGTTCTGTGGGGGATATTTACACAGTTTTAAATTAAAGATTATAACAGCTCATAGGCAACTTAGTGCCCTGGATCTGAAAAATATTGTGTTTTTCTTTTTTTAATTATCTTAAAACTCATATTTTTGGATTAATAATATCTATTTAGGAGAAATCATAAATACATACTTAATTGCTAAACCACTGATGTCTCCATAGATATAAACACTCTAGCAGTTTAATAATGTACATTTTAAAAGCTTCCTATCATCAGTATTTACACTGCAGGATGTACACAATAATTATGCCTTTCAATTGCAGGAATTTTTTTCAAAACAAGTATCAGCAAGTTTGTTTTGCTAAATTTTTACATATTAAATTCAGCAACAGAGATGTCTTAGCTAATGTACACTGGATAAGATTGCCTTAAAAACTAGGCATCTGTAAGGCTAGACTCAATAGGTTAAAAAGGAACCTTAGCAAGTAAGGTCAGCTTAAGAATTCCTTTTTGTTGTATCTGATTAGGGTAAGGTTCTCCTGGCCACAAGGAGTCATTGAAGTCAAGAGCTTTGTACGGAGGAGAAACGCCTTAATAGATTTGGATTAATAAGAAGAGTATGCAGTGTTATAATAGTGCTAACTACAGAAAGTAGCATTTGAGGTGCTGAAATACAGACCCGTAAGGAATGCCCAGCTATCCAGTGAAATGAAATTTACAGGGTGGAGAAAATTGTTATATTTACCTGATGTGAATCTGTCTGGAGCTTCTTCTCAAAGACAGATGCTTGCCCTCTCTCAGAGCCCCTTGACTAACGAGACCATGAGGCTGACCAGTTACTGTACATCCATTCTTTTGGTCTAGAGCATCTGAACACTGCAGGATTTTTTTTTTACAAAATCTATTTCTCATCTACTTCCTTCTCCCTCTGTCATGTGTGTGTTTTCTCTCTGTGCCTTTCTGATCCTTTTCCAAGCCTTTCTCCTCCAATTTCACTAGCCTTACACATAGCATCAGGCCAACATGCCGAGGAATTAAAGTCCCAGATCCATAGGCATTTGATCTAAAACTTAGGCAACATAATTTCACTCATGAAAACACTTCTTTATTCATGCAAGCAGCAAACTGTTGTGATTCAGTCTTGTTTGGAAGTAAACACTCAACAAAGAGTCTTACTTCTTACATCATAAGATAAGAATCAATGTGTCTTCAAATCAACCAGAAAAAATTCCCACCTAAAACCCTAACCTCATAAAGAGGAGTTAGTAAGAGAGTCCTTCTGCATTTTCTTAGCATGAGTGTCAGAGTCTGAAAGAAAAGATCCTTCATAGGGTACTCACCCAACAGACACTTGTCTCTCTACTTTGCCCAAAACTTACATGAAAGCGTGCACACTTTTTAGTGATATAATAGAAATCGAAGGGAAGAGCCTGCCACTTCTGAGGGGCATAATTACATTTGGACTACGGAGGGTGGGTGCTGTACGGTGTCCCGTAAAACAACAGAAAACTGGGCCAAAGCCCAGAGATAAGAGATCATTGTAGACTGCAGAGGGCTGAAGGCACAGATCCAAAACAAGAAATACATCCTTTTGTACCATCTTTATGAGACTCACCTGGGAACACCTTGTTTGCCATGTGGATTTGGCAGAGCTTCTTCTTTCGAGAGAAAAACTGGCTTTGGCGCATCTCAACTGCATGGAGCCCCTCTTCCTCCATTCCAGAAGCATTTCTGGGTTGTGAGCAGCCATAACCTGTAAGGATTGGAATGGAAACCAAAATTTCTGCCATCCATCCCTTCTGCCAGCTACTAGATTAAGTCCAGTGAAACTCTTACAAAAGGATTTGGTTTTAAGCATGTTAGTAATCTTAGCAAAGCCAGTGGGTCCAGCCATCACACCTAAAGAAATCTGCTTACTCGGGGATTTTAAAAGATTATAGCTTTAATAACTCAACCACTACTGGTCTGGAAAAGATTTGTCTTGAAACACACATGCAAAAAAAAAAAAAAAAAAAAAAAAGCGTAAATCATAGACTGGTATAAATGAATATTTCTTTTTCTTCTTACAGTTTTTGTAAGGGTGATTCACAACTTTAACTTTCTTGAATAGGTTATTTTCTTGATGTATTCACTCCTAGCTTGTGAGCTGACTTTGCTTAGGAAATTCTGGATGTTTCTTCCTGTTATTCCCTTAGTAACTGCAACCCTTCCACCATCGATTAGTGTGTTGCAATATAGGGTGTTAATCGACTTTAAACATTTAATTATGGTTTGTTTGAGCACAGCATTTTACAAGCACAGTGGCTCATCACATTGCTGGAACAAGTACAATACAGCATCTTTAAAATTATGCACAAATAATAGATTAGTTACAGCAATACTTTTTCAGCAGCATTAATAAAATCTCTCAAGCATGCAGAGAGCCAATGGCCAGGAGGATTCTCAGGAGGTCTTTCATACAGGATGCACATCTTTGTTACGAAATTCCTCAATGCCTTTTTTCTGTCTCCCTAATGACCAGTTAAATAGACTCCCTTGAGAATGCCTGAGTCAGAGCCAGCTTGAAAACTGCTGAGGAAACATCCTCTCTTACTGGAAATGATTTCCATCAAACTGCCATGTACCATATTTAGACTAACGGATCAGTAACGCCAAACAGAGGGAGCTAAGTTCACAGGGCTTGGGATTCTGCTCTGTGTGAAAGAGATTGCCTTTGTCTGGCCACAGTTGCTTTAGGGCACACAATTCAAGAGCTCTGTAACGCTAAGAAACAAATTCCAGCGGCAAGCTGTTGCCACCAGGCACGGTCAGAGTGAGGCAGGCAGCATTTCAGAAGCAGCCGCTGACTTGGTGAGGTCTAATTTGACTTGCCAATGGTATATCATGCACAGCTGATAATACCTAATTGTGGGAGAATTAGCCCATCAGCCGACTACCGCACTACCTGTGTGGTTACAATCTGAGGCACTATTTTCCTTTCTTAGGTTACCATGAAAAACTTATTTTCAACCATGAGCTTCCCTCCCACCAGCGGATGCATACACCAAAACATCAATTACCAGAGCGTAGGGATTTCCAAGGTCACTGAAGAAAACAAAATGCCTATTCTGCCTTATGCAAGATGTCTAATATAAATCTGATTTTTTTTCATATGCTTTTCTTGCTTAGCTTAGTGTCTGTTAAGTAGATAATGGTAGATGAAAGCAAACCACATGCAGAAAGTTTTCTTTTTTTCATATAATAAAGATATTTGTTGAGTCTGGAGTGCTTAGGTAGCCTTCCAAAGCATTTTTATTTTTAGAACTAGTGAAAAATGCTTACCAAGGACTGGAGCGAAAAACCGCTCCCTTAACCTCCCTATGTTTATTCTTCCTATTTAGAGGATGTTTTTTCCACAAGGCCCCAAGTTTACCCAGTTGTGTTCCCTGTACTTGCTTTGACTATCAAAGCGCAGTTTTGGATACTCCTGAGTGGAGAGGATAGGGCATCAGAGGTGGTTGGAGGTGTACATTCAGGGCTCATCAGACCCCACTTCCTTCGGCTGCCTGGAGGAACCTCAGCCCATTTCCTCGCTGTACATAAATAACTCTGTGTGCTTCAGTGCATGTTACCTCTTGTCCTTCCCATGCGCTGGTCCTGCTAGGGGTTGCTACCTGGTGTTGTTAACAAACACTACATTAGTCCCAGGGCTCTCTGCATCAGCTCTAGAGACTGCATTCCTGATCTCAAACCACAGAAATATCAGTAAGGTTCCAGTCCAGGGAGGTCCTCCTCAGTGCCACCCAAAAAA